TTTTTTTTTTTTTTTTTTTTTTCCGGGCATTGCCCGCACTGCCCGCACCGCGGACGCTTAGCTAGTATATATATATATATATATATATATATATATATATATATATATATATATATAGGGTTATCTGACTGAGCATTCGGGGGCCCCCGGGCTGACCCTCGAACGTTCGGCCGTTCGGGGTCCCGTTCGGGGGCCGAACACCTCCAGGTTCGGCCCCCGCCAAAAAACTTTTCAGGACCTAAAAATAAGTTTTTTTTCGGATTTTTTTTTGTGCGTTCTCTACGATGTAACCTACACGACTATAAATTTTGAAGCCATTCTGCTCAGCCAAAAAAACATTAAAAATGGTCAAAGATGAGAGTGTCAAAACGTGCTCGCCCACTCATTATTTTATTTTTTTCCACTCTTAAGATTTTGTTTTCATTTTATTTTGGGGCCTAAAAAATTTTATTATTTTTTGAAAAACTTTTATTATTTTTTGAAAAACTTTTAACAAGTTATCGATTCTGTAAACTACACATCTGTAAATTCTCACGACATTTGTCAATGTCAAAAAATAATTAAAAATCGGCAAAGATGGCGGTGTCGAAAAGATGCTGGCGCACTCACTCAGTTGAATTCTCTTTTTATTTTTTCTTATTTTTATCATAGTGTTTATTTTCTGTATTTTATTTTTAATTCAATGTTGGTGAAGAATTTAGATGTAGTACCCAGACAAATGTTGTTTAGTTTATTTTTCTCCATAATATATGTTTTTGAGTTGATTCGGCAGATGGTAGACTTTGACCTCGATAACACGTTTCTGTGGGCCTCTTATAGGCTTATAAGACAGAAGGAGGGCATTCCGACGAGGAAATCAAGTAGCCCCCCCATTGCCTGTATCCTGTGTGCATTCAATGAATGCCAGTTCTTGAACAGTTTGGGGAAGGATGTGGTTTTAGCTAAGGGGATTAGGTTGGTTGATGATGTCTCTCTTTTTATGTGGCAGAGCTGGAAAAGAGGAATCGGGGAAGGGTGATGAGATCATTAGTAGGTTTTAGAGAGCCTATGACCCTAAGTTGGTGTTGAAGAAGACTGATGAAGGACAAAATGAATGGAGTTTTTTGGGATGCAGGGTGAAGATTGAAGCCGGGGTAGTGGCTAGTTGGTACAGAGCGAAGAACTTCAAGGAAATCTGGGATGACACCGATCAGCTGGTCTACCGGTGTTTCCAAGATTTCTCATCGTACACATGTACAAAACAGAAAAAGACCTTAATCAAAGGGATGTTGCATAAGATTAAGGAATGTACTATGGCTACTACCCTGGCAGAAGAAGGACTACTCTCGCTAAAACGCGAATTAAGGAAACAGGCATTTCCCTCAAAATTTTTTGATGGACTCGGAACCCTCTGGAGGTTCGTGGGGCAGTGTGCCCTGGATTGGGCCCAAGTTGCCCAAAGAGTTACCTTTGGTCTGTTAACATCGCTACTGAGGTTCGATCAAGGGACCTCCCAGTACGTGTCTCTGACCCTGGGAACGTCAGTACTGTTTTTTCTGATTCGTGGTTGTTAGAATTGTGATTCATTCGTAGGCTGTTGGGCTGGGAAGTAGGAAAGGGTTCTAAAGTTTTATAGAAGGTACCAGTTGGGGGAATGGAACCCACCGGTTTTCTTGTAAATTTTGATAGCAGCTGTGGTAGGACAATGGGTGGTGACATAGGACTATTAATAGTAGAACAGTGAATGATATGACTTCTTCAAACATCGAAACTAGGATGTGCGTGTGTAGGGCGTTTCCGCGTTCCTCGCACTTATAGCTTTGGAGTGTCACGCAGTTCACGGTATATTTGCTTTCGGCAATTTCAAGGCAACGTTCAGTTCTGATGTTGACGAAAAGGTTTTGTCACTGTGTTCATAAGCTTGGACGAGCTCGCTGCATGCATGTTTGACCACTGCTGCATCGTATTCACTTACTTGTGATCGAGCGCTGTAAACCTGCCGAGGGATGTCACTCAGAGCTTGGTGACAGCGAAGGCTACTTTCACGTTTAGTAGCGCGAGGAGTAAGTTTTGCGGTTCTACGACTGGAGAAGAAGCAAGACTGTGGGAGCAGAGACGACAAGACAGTGAAGCGAGAACAACCAGCAGAGGCATCCGAAGTGAAGGTCGGGACCGACCGACTGGAGGGGGAAGGAGATACTGCTGGAAGAATGGGGAGCAGAAGGAGTGAGTCATGGGGGAGACATGACAGATATAGGGAGCATGATGGTAGGGGATGGGATAATGGAGAGGATAGGCGGGAACGACGACGAGAGTATGAGAGACGGCATGATGAGGGCCGAGGATTTTCGGCGGACGGGAGGAGCGAAGGACCACGACCAGTAAAATGCTATGAATGCGGAGAGGTGGGACATTATAAAAGTTTGTGTCCTAGATTACACGGGCGGGATGGAAAAAGTGGGGGAACTCTTTCTCTGAGTAGAGAGCTTGAGGAGTCACTGAGTTCGGTGGGAAAAATGGCTAAAGAGTTGTTGGATCAACAGCGAGAGGCAAAAGCAGTTAGGCGGGAAGCCGAGGCTAGGCTGAAGAAAGAAGAAGAGGAGAAGGCTCAAAAAGAGGAGGAAGCAAGAGTGGCATTGGCAAAAGAGGAGAAGGAAAGAAAGAGGAATTGGGAGTTGAGAAAAATCCTAGCCGAGCAAGCTGAGGAGTATAGGCTGAAAGTGGAAAAGTTAGTAGGGCTCAGTAGGAAGTTGAAAGGAGTTTCAATCGGAGCCAAAACGAAAGGTAAAGCGGCTGCGAAGACACCGTCGAGCTCAGAAGATACCGAAGATGACGAGAATGAGGAAGAAGCAACTCCGTTGAAAGATAAAAGGAAACGTCGAGAGTCCACGAGGGTGGCGGTGAACAGCCCGTCAGTCGAAACACCGAAGAAGCAAGGGAAACAAGAAGGGGTCGACACCCCGACAAGTCAGTGACGTAAGGGGAGAGGGAGACCGACGAAAGCGGACGGCCAGGCGGCGAGGATGGCAAAAGGGGAAGACTCATGGGAAGGTGTACCTATGGGAGAGAAGTTTGCAACCGAAGCAGCGTATCGAAAGGCGGTACGGAAGGCAATCAACTCGTTCTATCCTGATACTCTGAAGATGATGTGTAAAGGGGCGGGGCTGCCTTTCTACGGAGTAAACGATGCCATCGATACTCTGTCAGAATTACGGGTCACATACTGCTATCGAGGTAAGAAGCCATCTAATTTGTCGTCAAGCCAGGCTGCCGAAAAGGATTAGATGAGGGGAGAGGGAATCTGACAAGTAGATATGAAGGATGATAAATTTTGTTCAAGTTCTTTGAGATTCGACGATGGTGTAAATTGAACCGGAAGGGAAGGAGTCTGTCATCCTTAGTGGAAATAATACTTCGTAACACTATTTTGCTTTTGATTCTGGAAAATGAAATTACCTGGGAACGGAAGTACGTGGAGTGTATGTGGGAATTTTTTGAAAGAACACGGGGTAAGTGGGATGATCCGGACTCGTGTGTGTATATTTTGCTTGACCCTAGGTGTAAATTGACGTACGTAGGGGAGACTGAAAGAAGGTCGAGTGATCGATGGTCTGAGCATGTGGGAAGTGCACAATCGGGGTGTGTGTCTAGGAAGAATAAGCTCTATCAATGGCTTAGGAAGTGGGGGTGGGAGTCGTACGTAGCGATCCCAGTGGCAATAGCTGATCGGGTTGACCTGGAAAAATTGGAATTAAAACTAATTTAGTGTTGGTGTCCGGGGTTAAATGTGAATGGATGGAAAGATGGGAGGAATAGGAAGAAGAAGAGGAGGAAGGGAAGGAGAGAGAGAAAAAAGAAAAGGAAGGATTGTTTTGATGAAGAAAGGGTGCTCAGGTTTCACATAGAGCAAGGGAAGAGTTCCGGAAGATTGTCCGAGGTAATTAAGTCGATAAAAGGGAAGAGGGAAAGGCCAATTGTATCCAGCGGAGGTAAAATTTGGCTTGAAGATTGGGGGGTGGTTAAAAGGGTGTTCGGGGAATTTGACGTGCTTTTCCAGAACTCGGGATGTAAACTGAAAAATTTGAAGTGTGCCTTTGAAAAAGGAGGGGAGGTGCGTGTTGTGGAAGTTCGGGAACGGACACCGGGTAATCCGAAGCTTAAAAAGCAGCTTTATCAGCTGTTGAAGTGTCCCTGGTAAAAAAAGAAGCTCGATTTTCTCCAGCTAGATCGGCTGATTGAGATGTACCAAGAAATCAAGTGCGTTACTAGAAAGTGTTTGAGGAAGAGTTTGAAAGATATTTTGGATAGGGTGCTCAAGGTAAGATTTGGAGTTAATCTAAGGAGAAGAGTGGTGGTTGGGGTGAAATATGATGATCGGATCTCAAGGGCAAAAATTAGGAAGTTAATGGTGAAGAAAATTGGGGAACAGAGCTCCCTAGCTATCGAAGCGAGGCTACGATGTCAGAGGCTCCGGATGGTCTGGAGAAAAAAACAGACAGTCAGATGTCTTCTACATAAGCATAGGCGGTTCAGTCGCCTACTGACAACGGTCTGCCGTTGTGCTGACCTGCAGCTCCCACGATAGGGAGAGCACGTAGCCTTTCGCCTAAGCAGTAGGGAGAAGGTGGATTCTAGAATTCGGAACGCAAAGAACGTGGTTAAAGGGATTGATAGTGCCAAGGAAGAGAGTAGACTGTGTAAAGAATTGAATGATGAAATGATGAAGGCAGGGTTGAAGCCCACTTGGACGTCGCAGCAAGCTGGGAGTTGTATCCGAAAAAGGAAAGGAAGTCAAGGTGGGCTGATTGATGAAGTCGAGAAGGTGAAACGAAAGTGGGAGGGGTTGGTATTCTGTCCGTTGGATAAGAATCCTACGAAAACTCTAGTTATGTGTCCAGTTTTTTACGAGGAAGGGATGCGGATGATGTTTTGGGAGAACAAGGCTTTCGATCATGTATGGAGGAAGGAGGAAGAGGTGATGGGGAAGGTGAAGAAGAAGTTTGAAGAGAGAGGACTTAAAGCAATAGGGAATTGGAACAACAAAGGCTCATGGGGGAAGGCATATGTGTTGCCTAAGCATAAGGACACTACGAAATTTCGGCCTATCTCCCCATCATTCTCCGAGCCGACTCGGCTGGCTAATCGGAGGGTGGCGAGGGCTCTGAATCTCTTGCTTTTTTCGCTTTGCCAAAGACCTGCCACTTTAAATTGCAGTCTACCAATTTGTTGAAGTCAAGGCTTGAGGAAGTTAATAAATGGTCGACAAAAAAGAGAAGAGGAGAACTGAGGGGGGTCGTCTATGACATTAAGAAAATGTTTAGCCGACTCCCACATGACTCCGTAAGGAAGGCTATTGATTGGATCATGTCCATGTTTGAAAGTAAAGGAAAGACTCATGTGATGGTGAGAATGAGAGGAAAGGGGGCTTCGTTCGGAGATAAGAAAGGGCATGATGGATGGGTGAAGATTACCTTTAAGTTGATTCGGCAGATGGTGGACTTTGACCTCGATAACACGTTTCTATGGGCCTCTGATAGGCTTATAAGACAGAAGGAGAACATTCCGATGGGGAAATCGAGTAGCCCCCCATTGCCTGTATTCTGTGTGCGTTCTATGAATGTCAGTTCTTGAACAAAAGGATGTGGCTTTAGCTAAGGGGATTAGGTTGGTTGATGATGTCTCTCTTTTGTGTGGCAGAGCTGGGAAATGAGGAATCGGGGGAAGGATGATGAGATCATTAGTAGGTTTGCGAGAGCCTATGACCCCAAGTTGGTATTGAAGAAGACTGATGAAGGACATAATGAATAAAGTTTTGTGGGATGCAGGGTGAAGATTGAAGCTGGGGCAGTGGCTAGTTGGTACAGAGCGAAGAACTTCAAGGAAATATGGGATGGCACCGATCAGCTGGTCTACCGGTGTTTCCAAGATTTCTCATCGTACACATGTACAAAACAGAAAAGGACCTTAATCAAAGGGATGTTGCATAAGATTAAGGAATGTACTATGGCTGCGGCCCTGGCAAAAGAAGGACTACTCTCGCTGAAACGCGAACTAAGGAAACAGGCATTTCCCTCAAAAAAATTTGATGGAACCCTCTGGAGGTTCGTGCGGCAGTGTGGCCCGGATTGGGCCAAAGTTGCCCAAAGAGATACCTTTGGCCTGTTAACATAGCTACTGAGGTTTGATCAAGGGACCTCACAGTAAGTGTCTCTGGCCCTGGGAACGTCGGTACTGTTTTTTCTAATTCGTGGTTGTTAGAATTGTGATTCATTCGTAGGCTGTTGGGGTGGGGAGTAGGAAAGGGTTCTAAAGTGTTATAGAAGGTACCAGTTGGGGAAATGGAACCCACCGGTTTTCTTGTAAATTTTGATAGCAGCTGTGGTAGGAGAATGTTGAAGTCAAGGCTTGAGGAAGTTAATAAATGGTCGACAAAGAAGAGAAGAGGAGAACTGAGGGGGGTTGCCTATCACATTAAGGAAATGTTTAGCCGACTCCCACATGACTCCGTAAGGAAGGCTATTGATTGGATCCTGTCCATGTTTGAAAGTAAAGAAAAGACTCATGTGATGGTGAGAATGAGAGGAAAGGGGGCTTCATTCGGAGATAAGAAAGGGCATGATGGATGGGAGAAGATTACCTTTAAGTTCATTCGGCAGATGGTGGACTTTGACCTCGATAACACGTTTCTATGGGCCTCTGATAGGCTTATAAGACAGAAGGAGAACATTCCGATGGGGAAATCNGTGGACTTTGACCTCGATAACACGTTTCTATGGGCCTCTGATAGGCTTATAAGACAGAAGGAGAACATTCCGATGGGGAAATCGAGTAGCCCCCCCATTGCCTGTATTCTGTGTGCGTTCTATGAATGCCAGTTCTTGAACAAAAGGATGTGGCTTTAGCTAAGGGGATTAGGTTGGTTGATGATGTCTCTCTTTTTGTGTGGCAGAGCTGGGAAATGAGGAATCGGGGGAAGGCTGATGAGATCATTAGTAGGTTTGAGAGAGCCTATGACCCCAAGTTGGTGTTGAAGAAGACTGAGGAAGGACAAAATGAATAAAGTTTTTTTGGATGCAGGGTGAAGATTGAAGCCGGGGTAGTGGCTAGTTGGTACAGAGCGAAGAACTTCAAGGAAATATGAGATGACACCGATCAGCTGGTCTACTGGTGTTTCCAAGATTTCTCATCGTACACATGTACGAAACAGAAAAGGACCTTAATCAAAGGGATGTTGCATAAGATTAAGGAATGTACTATGGATGCTGCCCTGGCAGAAGAAGGACTACTCTCGCTGAAACGCGAATTAAGGAAACAGGCATTTCCCTCAGAATGTTTTGATGGAACCCTCTGGAGGTTCGTGCGGCAGCGTGCCCCGGATTGGGCCCAAGTTGCCCAAAGAGTTACCTTTGGCCTGTCAACATAGCTACTGAGGTTTGATCAAGGGACCTCACAGTACGTGTCTCTGGCCCTGGGAACGTCGGTACTGTTTTTTCTAATTCGTGGTTGTTAGATTTGTGATTCATTCGTAGGCTGTTGGGGTGGGGAGTAGGAAAGGGTTCTAAAGTTTTATAGAAGGTACCAATTGGGCAAATGGAACCCACCGTTTTTCTTGGAAATTTTGATAGCAGCTGTGGTAGGAGAATTGGCGGTGACATAGGATTATTAAAAGTAGAACAGTGAATGATATGACCTCTTCAAACGTCGAAACTAGGACGTGCGTGTGTAGGGCGTTTCCGCGTTCCTCGCGCATATAGCTTTGATGTGTCGCGCGGTTTACAGTATATTTGTTTTTGGCACTTTCAAGGCAACGTTGAGTTCTGATGTTGACGAAAAGGTTTTGTTACTGTGTTGATTTGCTTGGACGAGCTCGCTGCATGCATGTTTGACCACTGCTGTATCGTATTCACTTACCCATATGTTTTTTTTGGAATTTT